CTCTTTTATCTGTGTGTTTTAACTGGGAATGTAACTATGCCACTTAATTATCTTACTGTTTAAATCATCTTGAAATCATGCTTGAAAAATTTGCTGTGAGGCGTGGAATTAATGGTGGAATTGTGGGCTGGCTAGAAACACAGCCATATATGTGGTTAGGGTCTGTAAGCCCACTAGAAGAGGAAGCTGCATTTGGCAAAKTTGGGAAACTACTGATTTTGTGTTTTCTGTTTTTCCTATGGGCATCTCCRGCAATGATTGCATCCATAGTCCTGAATAGCGCATAGTGCCAAGCGTGACCTGAGGCATTACCAGAGAGCAAGTATAAGTGTTATTCAAACACTTCTCTCATGWTTATTTCAGTATGATGCACAACAGGAGGTGCCTGTCATTCTTTTCAGAATCCATATATACATAGACTTGTATGCGCTCCAGAGAGCTTTATTTCCATAATTTGCTTCTATTTTTTGCTGCATCATGGAGTCTTCACTGATTTTTAAAAAATAGTAGTCCCCAGTCCAAACATGCATTTTTACCTTTGTATACCTGAAGGATCTCGTGTCATGATGTAAGATTTTTCTTCAGCTTCTTTTATCTTTGTTAAAGGGTGCAGGGCTGTCATACTGTAAGAATAAAGCTTGTGCATTTACCTTCTGTTATAACAAAGCCTAGTAAACTGACAATTTCCTCCATATAAGTTTAGCTAGTGCTGAGGAAACCTTCAAACTTTCCAGCAGTGTCTGAAAATTCAGTGTGATTCACCCTGTTTCTGACTGCTCTTTAAGTACAAATGCTTTTCYTTTGTCGTCCTTTGAAATAAATGTAGGTAGTTTTAACCTTCCTGATGGATTCTAAAACTTTGACTTCTGAAGTGTSTATTTTAATGTATATATTGCTTCTGGAGTTTCTGTGCCAGAGCTAATTTGTAATACTTGGATCTCTCATGGWGCCTGCTGTCCTTTATGATAGTCAGTTTTGCCCCAACTGCCAAAGTGGTTACCCAGGTCTCATTGTGTCATAACATCTCTCCATCTTCCATCTCTAGAGGGGCAGCAATCTCCAGTATCAAATCAGCCTCTAGCCAGCAAGTAGCTTTGTCTGTTTTGCATGCTGCAGAGTGGTTGGTGCCCTAATACTTTATTCAAAGTTTCTCCAAAATGCTTATATTTTCTTTTCATTAATCTAAGGCTAAATTCAGAAACTTTATATTGTGCTTCTCAAAGCACAAATATTTGACAGTAACATACCCCTTGTTGAGAACTGGTCATTTTGAGAGACTTTCCAAGACCTTAGTAAATCATGTGGATTTAAGAGGATTTGCTGACATCTGAGATGCATGCTGATTATAATTAGATTACATCTTCATTTTTCATACACTTTTCATTGCTTTTTCTTCTGTAACCATTTATTGTGCAAGTGCCATGTCTGTTAGTAAGCTATCAAGTAGTTGATTTTTCTAAAGAGCTGGAAAAAGCTTTTATGCCATGCTTGTTTCTCTGAATTATTATTTTTCCATCCTCGTGATTTTTCAATTTCAGCTTTTGTTTCAGTATATTCCTGCACTTTGCTGCAATTTGGTTGTTATTTTTGAACATGTGGTAAACATGGAGAGAAGACTGAATAAAAGAATACTTAACATGTATAAAATGTAAACTTTGATGCTACATATAAATTCAAAATGCATGCACACCTATGGCAATTCTGATTGCTACTGAAACACTTATAACAGTAGAGTATTTTTGGGACCTGGCAGGCTGCTCAAAATTATTTTRCACCAATTATGGTGTTACATTTGGGTAATTATAGACAATTACCCAAAGGTCTTTAAGTAGCTTGCAAACATTACACAGTCTATAGTCTTTGTGAGGCAATGATATGTGTCTTTGTGAGGTGCCTGTAAATGTCTTATAAATGAGTGCTTGTGTGTTGAATGGTAAACCAGTAAGAAAGCAGTGAGTGTAATCAAGAGTACTTATTTGCAATAAACAGCTCCAGTCATTCAGTGTTACTGCCTCCTGAGKTTCCAATGACTAGTAAGCTGAAAATTTAGGAATTTCAGTGGTGTCCTACTGGAATCATCATTTCACATTATGATTCATGCATGGCTTTCAAAGACCTTAYGATGCTGAGAATAAAATGAGCTCATAATGCTATAATTGGAATCAATGCTCTTGAACATTTTTGTTGTGGCCCCAAGGAACTGGCTATATCTCTCCAGCTGGTGGCTAAYGGTGACTTCTATTGGGGTAGTAATGGGATCCCTTACTAATCCATCAATAGTGGGATTGAACCCTTCCAGCTGGCTAGTGGTCAGTGTGACAAGCCACTCAAGTGTGTTAGGGCYAATGCCTTATGCCTTCTAGTAAAAGGACAAGAGGTGAGCAAAACAGGACAAGAATGTGCATATGTGTCAAATAAAGGCCATGGTCTACAAGACCACGCAGATAAAAGTAGACTTTACAGACACTTTTTCAATCTCACAGGAAAAAAACTCAGGGTAGGAAACTGAATACTAAATACAAATTTTGCCAGTAAATATCACTCTGTATTTCTTCTTTTTCTTTTTTTTTTTTTTTTTGGCCACCCATGCATGCCAATCCTCCTTTCTAAAATAGTGCTCCAAGAAAAACTGACTGTTGAGGACTTACTGTGGTTTGGAAATATTGCTTTGTTTTCCCAAGTGAAGTAGTGTTCAGACCCTGGTGTCTTTAAGCAGTGTGCAGATTTGTGGGGTTTTTGCATGTTGTATGAGCTGTTAAATYTGAGAGACCCAGAGGCAATGAGGATGTGGACACCCCGTTCTGAGAGCAAATTTTGCTTGTCAATGTGGGAATGAAGCAGTTTCTCTTCTTCTCTGGTACTGTCTTCCTAATGCAATAGATTGACAGTGGAAAGAGTGCAGAACTGTCTTGGAGTCAGACCTGATTCTGGGTTATAACGGACTTGGAAGTGTGTACATAATTGCATCCCATTATTTTTGGTGTTGTCTGTCAGCCAGCATTCTTCAGATACTTTGGCTGAGCACAATTGCAGAATTTGATCATATGTTGTTGTTTAAAAACCTAAATAATTTTCTCAGGTTAGGACTTCTCTCATTTCAGTCCTTACAGTGGCTTTTTTTATTGCCAACCTATTTTAACTTCCACTTTTTGTTCTGAAAACACTAAAAGAAAGATCATATTTCCTTAAACTTTTTCTGAATTTCTGTATTTGTTCCCCATGTCCTAGTAGTTTATATTCAAGCTTCCTATTCTTATCCTGGTGACAGTCAACAATCTCACTGTTCATAGTGTTTGAGGCAGAAGGTGTAGTGAGACATCTGGGTCGACCTGTAAGTCACGAGTCACCACGTTGCCTTTCTTTTCAGTCCAGTGGCTTCTGACTTGACTGCAACTTCTGTAATGGTACCCAGTCTTGTTGAAAGACAAGATGTACACAACCAACTGCTGTCCTTTTCAACTTCTGCCAGAGGTTAACCACTGTTACTATTAAAAATGTCTGYCTTATTTATACTTTGAATTTTCCTGGCTTTAGATTCCAATCGTTGTTTTTTGTTATGTCTTTCTCCAGTTTGTTGAAGACACATGCATTTTTCTTCTTGTGTAGGTGCTTGTACATGTTAATGAAATCCACTTTTTGTTCCCTCTTTTAGTAAACTAAACAGATTGATCTCCACATTCTACCAAAAGGCATTTTCGCCTGACCTCAAATAACTCGTGTGGTTCTTTCTGCACTATTTTCAGTGTTTTAACATKATTTGAAAATCAAAAGTATTTGATTTTCAAATCAAAAACTTTTGATTTGAGAAAGTATTTTAGCATGTCTGTCTGTGTCTGCATACAGGTACAATTGCCCTGCCTTCTGCCCCCATTTCTTACAACATACCCACCTATATATACAAAAATTACATTAATCCATTTTGCCCCAGCAGCATACTGAGAGCTAATGTCCATTCTGTCTCTTTAATTCTTTTCAGAAACTGCTTTTAGGGAAAAAGTTGCCTTGGTCCTGGTGTTTAGCTGTGTGTCAAACTGTCCATGTGTTTTTGTTCAAATGCACCTAGTTTACTAAGCAGTTTAGTAAGCTCTGTATGACCTTATTGTCATCACTATTTTTCATATCTTCAGGCTTTGTATCACTTGCAAGTTTCACTGGCAATTTATATTTCAGACATGAAATTTTCAGTGGCTTCAGACCTAGTATCAGTTCTTATAGACTCCACTTACCACAGAACGAGAGAATGGTTAAGCTTGGAAGGGACTTCTGGAATCTGCTGTCCAACCCGGCTCTCAGGCAGGATCATCTCAAGCACATTGAACAGAACCATCTCCAGATGGCTTTTAAGAGTAGAGATTTCAGTACTTCACTGGATAACCTGTGTTAGTGCTTAGTCACACTCACTCCGAAAGTCTCTCCTGATGTTTGGAGGGAGCCTCCAGTGTTTCAGTTGGTGCCCTGTGACTTAGGACTTTGAAGATAAAACAAATTGCTGAGAATCTACAGAATCTACTCGTTAACAGTCAATAGTGCTAAACATTTAATTAATAGAATAAAATTTATTTTTCTCAGTCCTTGATGGAGCTAACATTCTTAGTTCAATTCTTTCTGACCCTAGAGTTGCAGTCAGTGTTTGCATACTGCTGCTTCAAATTATTTTAGTTGCAATTGAATGAAGTATCTTTTCGTGCTGTCTGTCCTAAACCAATAGGTATTACTCCTACACTTGCTCTCTGTGAATACTGCACATTGCTGTTTTGGGCAGCTATCCCCAATGTAGCTRCCCATGAAGCTCTTTGTAGAGAGCTACAGAGGAAAATGTAATTAAACTTCTGTCTCCTTTCGTATGCTCTTGTGTTTGCCAAACTGAAACAAGTGTAAATCCGCCATTAAGAAGCATTGATTTAGATGCAAAGAAGAAAAGAGTAAAGAGCAGCTAAGATGGATAGACTCAAAAGTAAAGTACAATATTGAATTCTATTTATTTTAATTTTTCTTTTTAGATTCCCTCTGGCCAAAGATTCGTGTTCCACTGAAAGTTGTTAGRACTGCAGAAAATAAACTTAGCAATCGCTTCTTCCCTTATGATGAGATTGAAACAGAAGCAGTGTTGGCTATTGATGATGATATCATTATGCTAACCTCAGATGAACTCCAGTTTGGCTATGAGGTAAGATAATTGTCGTTTTCCTCATCTCTTAAGCTGTCCATTTCGGCATTGTATGTATTTATAAAGTGGAAGAACCACTGCACAGTCTGCTGATTCAGATTGTTGCATCTCTCTTTACCGTAACAGTTCAATGCTGACTGAAATAATTTTACAGATAGTTCTTACCTTGTGGAAAAACCTGCCAGCTAAGAGGTTTTCAGTAACTGGCAGAGTTGTGCCAAGAGACTCCAGAAAATGTTGTGTAATTGGTGTGGTGTAGCAGTCTGAAGACTGAACTGCATTCTTAAGAGCTTCAGTTTTCAGATAARTCAGAAGTGCTAGCCAAGTGAACGTGTCTTGATGGACAAGACAAGTTTCAGAGATTAAGTGYTGAGAACAGAGGAGGCCTCTTGAAGACATGCCAAAGTAAGGTGGAGTTCAATGAAAAGAGGACCTGAAGAATTCCGAGGAGGGGACACATGCATCATGTGCTTGAAATGGCAGAGCTTCAACAGCTGCTGTAGTAATGAGGGCATGGACAAACAGAAAGTTTGTCCAAATCAGTTACCCATGGCAGTATAAAGAGGTGACAATCTTCATAGGTACTTGAGTTGTTTGTTATAAGTATGCTTAAAGCAACACTGTTGTCTTCCTTCCAAAACTATGTTTTGAATTAGGTAATTCCTGTCTTCCAGGAATTACCTAATTCAAATTCATACACTCAAATTCTTTGTATTTGAGTGTATGACACAGTCCATAATCTTCCATTACTGTTATATGTGTGTATTTGAGACAAAAATTTGCTGTGTTTATAAATAAATCAGAAACATTAGAAAATGTAATACTGCATTTTAAGAAAGGTTTGAATAATTCAGTGGACCTGTACATRCAGGTTCTAATTTTTAGCAATCTTAAATGCAGTTAATACAAGTTGACACTTTTAAAAAATATGTTGGAATTATTTCTTTAATGTACGTAAAAGAATGTAAAATTTTATGTGGTAAAATATGGCTCTTTCTCCCTCTTGAGTAAAAGAGGCTGTTAGCAAGTAACMAGCTTTTGGACTCCAGAAATGTCTTGTGATGATGTAGGTATGCTGAAGTAATAACAAAGATGTTAAATAGTGGAGACAGAGGTTTAATCTATCAAGTGTGTCTCCAGAAAGGAAATACTTCCCTTGCCAAGTTAAGAGTRGCGGGTTAATACATGAAGTGTGAAAGATGGAATGAAGAGAAGACAACTGAAGGAAGGGGGTTTTGGCCACATAGACCTTCTCTGTACTCTGTTGTCTACAYGAAATGTTTTAACCACAGTACTGCAACAGCAGAGCAATCAATGCTGGCAGTTCTGCAAACTGACTYACTGTTGCCTGTGTTGGTGATTATAACTACTAGTTTTTGAAGGTGATCTGATGGGATGAAAGATAGCAGATCCATAACGTGCATGCTGCATAAATCCTTGCTCCATTTGCAATCTGATTTCCATTTTCATGARGCTGTCCCAAATGAAGTGACTAAGTAGTGACTTACTGAAGTCACCTAGGTGACTGTGTAAGTAGTTCCAAATGAATTACTGCTACTGGCAGAGCAGGCTTGAAGGGCTTTGAAGCAGAGGTTCAAACTGCAGCTGAGTTCCAGCTGTGTCAGCCAGAAGTTGTGCAAAGCAGAATCTTGGTGTTTGTGTGTCTGAACTGTTAATTTTAACACCCTCAAAGGAGAATGGCTGTAACATCACATATATTGAGTCTGGTCACTCACACAGGAYGAGGTTATCGTCATAAAAACAAAAATGAAGCAAAGAAAATTTGATGCAAATTCCCCTGTAGCTGCTGCAATTAGAGAACCTGCAGCCATCCCCTAGGATGAAATCCAGCAGGTCTAACTGTTYGTGCTAGCTCATTTATTGGCCTTGTGGCCACATGCCTTAGTGGCAAGGGACTATCTGAGTAATAGTCCTTATATTYTGTAATTGAATGTAACTGTTTGGACATGAGATTGTTTAGTTTGGCATACTGGAAACTGTTTGTTTTGCAGTTTTTTGCATTTTATTATAAATCCTGTTCCTTTTTGATTCTAGGAATTGAGCTTACTGCACTGTAATGTTGATGGAAAATTAAGTGCCATATTGAGCAGATTGTTGAGACAAACCTATGA